TATGCAATCTCAAAGGCCAACTTTGTCATTTGGAGATTTTTTTTTGTATAAAATCATCAATCTTTGGATGAAAAATAAATGAAAACGAGTTTTGTGAAAAGAATTTAAAATCTCAAGGGGTGTTCTTGTCATTTCTAAAACCTGAAGGAGTTTTGTGAAAAAGCCAAAAACCTCAAGAGGTGTTACTGTAAATAACTCAAATTTGAACCTTATAGGAACTCTATGTGGTACTAAGCCACTCATGTATTTTACCATGCAATGTATAAAGTGTAAAATATTGTAGTAAATTATTATAAATAAATAATTATGGTGTGTTTAATCTTTTTTCATTAATTATTACATATTTTCTACACTCGCAGTGTTTGTCAATTCGATATATAATCAACTTAAATCAGTTAAACCCATCATGCAATGCATTTCCTTCTAATTTTTTGTGATAAAGTAATAGATAATTGACTAAATAAACATTCTCCAAAGTTTCAAGAAAAATTTCCAAGTTTTTCTTACAATTTTCGTGGTTTTTATTCAAATTTTATCGATATCGATAATATTCCGATACTTCCATCGAAATTTCTGTGTTTTTGGACTACCGGTATTTCCAAAACTATTGATATTTTAGACTTTGATACTTGAAAAAAGTTGAGATTCCACCCCAAAACCAACATAGCCCATATGACAATAATTAAAGCTTGGCTGCATGCATACTGAACCCCACCATTTGGAGTTCTTCGCATACAAACTGTTAGAACTTGCTACATGCTGATCATCTTCTATATAAACCCACGATAGTATGCTTTGCTTCTTCACAGCTAGCCTTCCAATATCACTACTTGAAACCTAAGCCAATATTACTTTGCGAACAATGGCTTTTGAGAAAAACCTTGTGGTCATTGTCATATTCATCGTCTTGGGGACTTTGGCATCTCAAGCCACATCCCGCACACTGTCCGAAGCTTCCATTGCTGCAAAATATGATCAATGGATGACAAAGTATGGCCGTGTTTACGCGGACAATGCAGAGAAGGAAAGGCGTTTCGCCATATTCAAGAAAAACGTGCAGTTTGTGGAGAAGTTCAACACTGAAGGGAACAAGACTTACAAGTTAGGACTGAATGAACATTCTGATTTGAGCGATGAAGAATTCCTCCGGCAGCGTACTGGATACAAAAGGGCCACTGAATTCACCTCATCCGCAAACGTATCCTTCAGCTTCAGGTACAAAGACCTCAGCCCAACTGATGTTCCGCCTAGCATTGACTGGAGGGAGAAAGGAGCTGTCACCCCCATAAAGAATCAATTTAACTGTGGTAAGAGATCCACCTTCCTTATATTAATTACCTTCTTAACTCATCCATATTCTTTACTAAGTATTGATGTTTTTGTTTTTGTATTATATATGTAGGCTGTTGCTGGGCATTTTCTGCAGTGGCAACAGTGGAAGGGATTATCCAAATCAAAAGTGGGAAACTGATCTCACTGTCCGAGCAACAACTTCTGGACTGTACCCGCGGCTATCCCAACCAAGGCTGCAGTGGTGGTTGGATGCATTCTTCCTTTGAATACATCCAACAAAATGGAGGAATTGCCAGCGAAGAAAACTACCCGTACCAGGCTAAGGAGGGAACCTGTGCCGCTAATCAGCCTGCTGTCCAGATCACTGGTTATGAACAGGTGCCTGCCAATAGTGAAGAAGGCCTACTCAACGCTGTGTCCATGCAGCCAGTCTCAATAACCATCGATGCTTCCGGGAACGAGTTTAAGCATTACCAAAGTGGGCTTTTCTCGCCCACAGATTGTGGGACGAATCAGAACCATGCTGTTACCGTCGTTGGATACGGGACGACTGAGGACGGCACTAAGTATTGGTTACTCAAGAATCAATGGGGTGAAAGCTGGGGTGAAAATGGCTATATGAAAATTCTTAGGGATGCTGGTGCCCCAGGAGGTGTCTGTGGCCTTGCTCAGTACGCTCTCTATCCGACTGCATAATCTATATATATTTATATAGGCTATAGAGTCCATATCTAAGTGAGTTTATTATCATGAATGATTGGCCGTGAAAATGCCTGTATCGGCTAGGCAGGAGCTAGCAAATATATTTATATCCAACTACATCATGAATTAATATCCCATGTGCAAGATATATTCTAAACAGCCAATAATATTATAAGGAAATGACATTAATTAATACATGCAATTAAAAGTGTGTTTTTTTTCCCCTTTTACATAGTAAACTATGTACGTAGGACATACATTTTTAAATCACTAAAATTTTCCCGTACATACATTTTTAAATCAACAACCAAAGAAGTAATATGGTTTAATGTTTTATATAATTCCTGTACTTGATGAAATTGAGAATCAAGAACTAATAACATGGGTTAGTACTTGTAGACGTGAGCCTTGTTAATTTTGACCCTTACGGGCTAGAATTAAAACTTATTTTCGTTGGCGCTTTGACTGGCAAATGTCACACTTTTTTCTTTCTTTTATCAGAAACCCATGTCATTTTATAGTCCCGTTTGAAAATATTTCTATGGAAAGTATATTGTCGGCGGAGTTTTGTTGAAAGTACTTTTATTTGAAGAATATTCACATTTTATCAATAAAAAAACCTAGGTGTCTTTATAACAGAGTACATTTTTGAAATTTTCTATTAAATCTTTTGACTACAAAATTTCACCGCTTTACAAGGAATTGTAAGACACGATATTTTGGACTATTGAACAATGTAATAAGTCCACTCCAAACACTTATAAATTCATCAAACATCAGTCATGATACTAGTTTTTCTTTTCTTTTCAAGGTCATGCTAATTAGTTCAATCTAATTGAAATCCTCCAATTCATTCCGCCAAACAGCCCAAAGTCTTATTATGCATAAATTACGATGGATTACAGGACCGACGACCTCAAAAGACTCATTGGTCTTTGCCGAATAGAAAAAAATAACAAATCAAAGTCTCTTTTTTCTCTGTTTTTGTCCCATTTGGCAGGGGAGGCATCAAAAATTTGCTCAACCACAAATACACACATCATCATCCCTTTAGAGTCTACCATTTGCAATGAAAGGAACGTTGGAAGCTTGCATTGCACCACCACTAGTTTTGCGAATCTGAGTTAGACAGCAACCTCAATGATTTAGCATTCTTTAACATCAAATTCACATCAAGGACTGGATCCTGCCATTGCACCACCACTAGTTTTGCGAATCTGAGTTAGACAGCAACCTCAATGATTTAGCATTCTTGAACATCAAATTCACATCAAGGACTGGATCGTGCTGGCTCGATGTGAAAGTTTGATGACCAAATTAATCCACAATTCTAGACGAACACAGTAGCAAATTAAGGATTGGGGACTGGAAAAACTTAGTAGATTTTGTAGTCACATGTCAAAAATTAAGGCTGAAACTCCTCTAGAATATAGTATGCAAGTATTGTATTGATCATAATCTAAAATATCGATAATATCGACAAAATATCGATAATATTATCGTTTTTTCGAGTCAAGATCGATGTGAAAGTTTGATGACCAAATTAATCCACAATTCTAGACGAACACAGTAGCGAATTAAGGATTGGGGACTGGAAAAACTTAGTAGATTTTGTAGTCACATGTCAAAAATTAAGGTTGAAACTCCTCTAGAATATAGTATGCAAGTATTGTATTGATCATAGTCTAAAATATCGATAATATCGACAAAATATCGATGATATTATCGTTTTTTCGAGTCAATGATATTTTGGAACGTATCTATACACATATGCATATCTCATGTGCAAGATATTCTAAACCACATATGCATACAACAAGTGTGTTTTTCGTGTGCAGTTTATCACAAACCAATAATATTATATGGAAACGGTATTAATACATGCAATTAGTCGCCAGGTTTCTCTGGAGCCCCTGTTAAAAATGTTTGTGTTTGCCTTCCGCATATTAACTTAAACAGAGCATCACATGTGAACAAACAGAAAAGAAGTCAAAAGAAGAAGATAACGTGCGAGTGCCAGAAAAAAAAACCAGCCCTATATATATGAGATGGACAAATATTGTATAATTTTGCTGTTTGATTTGACTCATCTAAGTCATATTCTAGGCTAAGACTTCTTTGCCCTATCAGGCTCACTCGGCTTAGAAGACTATAGTCGTCCTTAATTATCTCTCGAATAAGTTAGTAGGAGGGACCGGGACCAGGGACAGGACCAGACCAGCGAGGCTTTGTGAATTATTTATGTCAGCTTATTGTCATGTCATTATTCAATGTTTGATGACATTGATGACAGGTTTTTTTACGATGATGTTGCATATGTTGGTAAGTGCGGCTTTTTTCTTGTTGAAAATAACTAAGAAAAACAAAGGATAAAGAAGGCTAATATGGAAAAGTATGGCCTGACTGATTCCACCTAGCCGTGCACTGAAGACGGTTACCCATACCAGAGTCTGGATGGAACTTCTGGTCATGAAGAGAGGTGCCTCCCAATAGCGAAATCGACTTACTCAAGGCTGTGTCCGCGCAACCTGCAGTTTCCATTGCCATTGCCGCCACAGGAGAAGCCTCTCGGCATGAGGATGCCCCAGAAGGTGTTTGTGGCCTTGCTCAGAAAGCTTCCCATTAACAAGGCTTTCTGAATTATATGCTTATTGTCATGTAACTATAAAATCTTGTCGACTTCACCTATAGCTGTAGACCGAACCCAAGACTACCAGATTCTCCTTTTTCATATTTATGCAGAATTACAATTATTGGTTGTGAAAATGCCCCATCTTGTACTAGCTAATGTACTCTTGACGAGATCTGCACATAAGTGTGAAGTGTAACAACAAAACAATATTGTTTGTGAAAGCAATCACCAGGTTGATGGGGCATTTTCACAACCAATATTGTTTTGTTGGAGCCCCTATTAAGAGTGAGCCTTCCATTTGGGTTCTGATATACATATACTGGCATAACTAAGAATGAATTCAGACAACAAAATTAACAGGACACATTGAATATGCAAAATGGGCTTGGACAAACAAAAGCCTTTCTGATTGAAACAATACGGAAGGGATATCATGTGAAATAAGTTTGAAATTCTGCCAATGTTCACAAGAACCAGCTATTAGACATCATTACATTTCATTTCATTTCATTTCATTTACCTGATAAACTGAATTCGAAATAGACACAATCAGGCACGTTTTCCACTGTTGGGATTGGTCTTCGTGCAGAGGATCTTCCGTCCCTTAGCACGTCGGCGCTTCAACATTGCTCTACCGCCAGTGGTTCTCATGCGTCTGCGGAACCCATGAGTTCGAGCCAAAGATTTCCGGGACCTATTTCTCTTGGTTAGACACAGAGCAGCCTTCCCAGCCCTCACCACTAAGCCAGAGCCTCTTCTTCTTCCAACCCCAATACTAGAACCCAAATCCAACCCAAGAGATAAACCTTCAAGTTGAAAAAATCAATTTTAGATCAAGGCCTTTCCTAGGAGGAAAATGACATAGTATTATCATTTTGGTATCCTGTGAGACCAACAAAGTAGTCACATATTCATCTAGAAAAAGAAAAACCTACCAAAATATCTAACCATTTCTATCTCTAATTCACTACTATTCTGTATGTCATCTTTTGATTAGCAATTGAAGCACTTATGTTGCTTTACTAAGCAAAACTGCTCTCTTTTCAGCTTATAAGCAAGAAACTTACTTTCATGAAGCTAGAGTGCCTGACCAAACCAAAAATCAACAAAATTTCAAAAAAAAAACAAAGGAATGCGAATGTACAACCAAATTCATAAACTAAGAAGACCCATCACAATTTAGGCCGCACAAAATCCCACAATTTGAACTTAGAGACAAATTCAATAAAATTTACATCAATTCACAATCTTGGGCAAAAAGAGAAATCAAGTAATTCAAGCATCAAACTTTGTTACCTGAAAACGAGGAAGGGAAAGAGAGAGAGGAGGAAGGAACGAAGGAGCAGTGAAGCAACGAAGAACGAGGGGTGGCAGCGTTGAGGGACACAGAGCTCTTCCTGGGTCTTGACCCAGTGAGGAATGTGAGAGAAGCACAAGGTGTGGAGGCTTGCTGTATGCCTCTACTTGAAAGGCAAGGTGACAATGACATTGCTGTTATTGAAGCCATTATTTCTTCTTCTTCTTCTTCGTCTTCGGTTCTTTCCTTCTGTGTTATCCCCAAAGACGAAGATGAGGTTTTTCTGCCTTCGCCTTATCCAGTGTCTCCCGCACAACTGGTTTGGATTGGACCCTTCCGAGTCGACCGGTTTTTTTAAACTTAAAAACTCACTGGACTGGACCGGCCCATTACTGCCAACGATTGAAAGACAGACACTGCCTTTCGCGGCCCAATTCCTAGGACGAAATATTAACACACTAATATATATAAATTATATTGTCGATAATACATCAAATGGGGATGTAGCTCAAATGGTAGAGCGCTCGCTTTGCATGCGAGAGGTACAGGGTTCGATACCCTGCATCTCCACCTCTTTCTTTTTCGTATTTTGCAATTAACAACATTTTTTTTCTGCTTTTGTCTTGTGACATTTTCAAGTTGGTGGAGTTTGAAGACCAAGCCAGGCCAAGACCATTCCTGGCTTGCATAACTTTTTCCCACAGCATCTGCAATGTATTTAGTTTATGTCACATATGGATTAGCATATGCAATAAAATTCTAATCACATATTGGATCTCAAAAGCTCCAAAAGTTGAAACTTGAATAGGTATTGTTTTTTAAGTACAAGAGATAGTTTAAATTAAAGGGGAGGAGAATTTCTCACACACACATAACTAAGATGCCACTGGAATTCAAACCTGAGACTTTTTATCTGCAAGACAATGTCATTTTACTCTGAACTACACCTCGTTGGCCTTGAATAGGTATTGTTTAACAAAGTCAAAAGGCTTACACACTTGATGAGAAAGCAGCAGGTCAAAAGCTAAAAGAGGAAATATTGCTAATTGCTCAAGGAAAACTAGATCAGCATATTCACCTAACTACAAGATTTAGGTGCATGAGCATGTAACATTTGGTACTCAATTATTGCTTTGGTGAAAGGGTGTGAGAGGAGAGAGGTCAAGGTTCAAGTGATTGAAAATGGACATGAAATGCAAACTAATTAAGATTGTAATTATGATACAGGCGTTGTTGGTGGCTGTGGTTCCAACTGTGGGTATCCACTAGTTTTCCAACTAAGACACAAACCAAACCAGTGCCCTGCATATTTTTGCACGACTTGAAAGCAAAGGCAGCCAATTCACCACTAATATCAATTTTGTAGGGTTGTGGTGTGAGGTTGGCCAAAATGTGCATGCCCAAATTCCATGTCAGTTGAATGGGCAAAAGCAAACTATGATAAGGAAATCAAGTGGACCTCTGTCTGCCATCCACACTGTTCATTCCCCCAACCTGTTGCCACCCAACACCTTGTATATATTGGATACAAATATCGTCACCAAAGTTTCCACCCACTTAATTCGGCACTACCATAAAAATTCAATCATATCATCATCATCATGAAATTGTCGACGTAATATTTTCGCGTGATATTACTAATTCACTTATTAAATAATTAGTAATATCATCATGAATTAGTAATATCACTTATTTAATTATTACGAAAGCACTAGTATTTGACAAAAAAAATGTGTTAATCATGTAAGTGTATCTCTTTGAGCTTTGCAAGCAACACATTTGGTCCTGAAAGGCTGCTAGTAGGGGTCCCCTAAGACAAGTTGTGCAAGCCAACTGTACAAATCCACTTATGATTTCATGTCTCTCGCTCTCTCCTTCTCTCTCACTCAATTAATTCTATGAAGTCCCAATTCAAGAGTGACTTATCAAAGGGGCTAATTAATATGGTAACCCTCTTTTTCCAAGCCTGTGCCGTGTAAAGATTGCTAATTAATTACTGAGTTGTTGGAGGGTTTACTATTTTGAGATATAGACATTAGAAACTTCTTGGTAAAAAAAAAAACACAAACGAACAAATGATAGCAGAGAGAGGCAAGAAGCCCCCACCTATAACTGCAGTTTTGATATTAAATATATGTGTTTGGGGACCTCTTTTGAAGGGTGAGCGTGAGATTGAAGGAACTAGAAGACCAACTAGAAAGGCCGATGACAATGAAGGATTAGAAAATCCATTTCCCAATTGTTTTGTTTCATTTCATCTTCAACTCTCTCAACGTAGGAACCCACCACATTGTCATCGGCCTGGAAAAGGTAGACTTCTTTCAGCTTCCAAAAGCAACCAGTTTTGATCCACTTGTGTTATGGTGAGTGCCATTTCTTTTTTATTGGTTTGTGTTGAAGGGAATGTAATGGCATTTGTTAGTGCTATTGGTCACTATTGGTCACTATTGCTCCTCATGATAACGTTAAGAGGATTTCACTTATAAACTCATTTTAATGTCGGCAAAAAGATCAGGACATCACCATGACCAACTCTTTCATCATCATCATATCATCTTTAGTGTTTGTTCCTTCACTCATTTTAAAATATGAAGATTCCCATCAACTGGAAACAAGACAGGGTTGTTAAAAATATCCGAAGAAAGAAAGATAGAAACCCTTCAACAGCAGCTACCTTACCAAGAAAACTCCAAAAATAGTTTAGGGGGTCATTATTTATTTGAGTGATGGTTCAACGAATGAAGACTTTTAGCTTTTCAAACACTCTAAAATGGAGGTTTAGATAGAGCTTTTGCAAAAGCACTTACCAAATGTGCAAAACGCTTCCGGTGGTTAACTTAAAGCACCTAAATGAAGACTGCTTTTGGTAACCTTCAACAGAGATTCCATTACTAACCATTCCAGCATGGACTTTTTACCTACCTCATGCAATAGCTTGAGAACTCAGTTTGGAGAGGGAGTCATGGGACTAACCCAAGGTGGGCCCAACTTGAGGAATGGGACTAAGCCTCTCTGAGAGCAGAATGTTTTGAACTCTGGCCCTAAAGAAACTCAGAAGAAAAGTGTGGTGGTGGGCCTGACTGGGAAGACCAGCCTGACATTTTTTACTTTGGGGTTTTTAGTTTTCTAAATCTTTGGGGTTTGGGGACAAAGTTAGATGAAATGTCCAAAATAGTAAATCAAACCCACTACAATGAAAGGAAAGTGACTAGAAAAGCCTGTGGAACCCACCCTTTTGGTTCACTCCCTTGTTAGGTTTCAAAATTTTCAATGTTCTGGTTATGAATTATTTTTTATTTCTTGTGGTTTCAGTGTAGCAGATGGCTTTGCCAATCCTTTATAGATTTTTATTTTTGCATGAAAGAAGTCTTATCTCATTGACACATGAACCACACAGACACAGAATACAATCTTAAGCTCAGAAGAGAGCGCCACATAATTTGGCATCAGAAGCACTTTTCCTGATTTTTTAACTTGTGTTAAATTTGTTTTCTTTCAATTTCATGGAATATTGTCCGCTGTATAACCAGAAAGGGAAAAGTCATACCACGGGTTCAGTTCCATGGTTCAAACTGAATTGTATTTTTGCCTACAACCAAAGAAGGAAAAATAAGGCTACAATGGTTGGCAAAAAAGAACTTTTAATTTAATGGTTTGTTTTAGTCACTTGTTCTCCCACCAAAGAGTGGCTCGTTTGGGAATGTTTATGTAGAAATCACTTCTGTTCATAAGCATTTTCTTAAAAGTGCTTCTATCATAAGAAAGTAAAAAAAATTATTGAAAATTTAAGTGATTCCTTAAGAAGTACTTGAAAAAACACTTTTGTGACCTAGAAACACTTATAAGTTTTTCAATCAAACGCTATCAGAAGCGCTTTTACTTGTCACTAAATGTTTTTAGCCATTCCAGAAGAACTCCCACTCCCACACGCCTAAATATCTTCATCTAGAAATCTTTGTTTTTATTATGTATTATTAAGGTGCTATTTTTGTATTATTTGTAAAATGGACATAACAGCAGCAGGCACATCAGATCAGATGCGTCTGTCTATTTTATGTATTGGAAAAAGCGTATGTATAATAGATGCATCATACGTGTACATTGACAATTGAAATATATAATTTTACCATGTGATGTCAAATTGCAATTTGAGAGTACGAACAGCACAACACTGGTTTTTATGCTGTGAGTCCGTGACATGCAGACCTATGGGAATGTAAGAGAAACATTTTCTCTTTTCTTGAAATAATAATAATAATAATTCCCAATTGCACTATTTCCTAATCCTTCCAAGTTTTCCCAACTCACATCAGAAAAAAATATATTTATATCAATTAAATCTTCATATCCTCTGGCTCAAACAAAACCATGTGAACCGCCGAAGCCAAACCTCTCCTTCCTAAATTCCTAATATTTCAAAGCTAGAGAAATACTATAAAAACCCACATACCACATACATCTTTGTCTCACACTCTTCTTCTTCACAGCTCGTGAATGCATGTGTAAAATCCAAAATGGGTTTTAGGCTCCAAGCTCTGTCATGCCTTGTGGCTCTTCAAGTTCTGGTCTTGTTTTCAGATGAAGCAAGCTCTGCAGCACATGGACACGGACATGGCACCAGAATTTCCAGACAAAGAAAGCAAGCGACTGGCTGCAATCTGTTCCAAGGCAATTGGGCTTTCGATGCTTCTTCTTACCCCCTCTATGATTCTTCCAGCTGTCCCTTCATAGATCCTGAGTTTGACTGCATCAAGTATGGCAGACCAGATAAGCAGTTCCTCAAGTACGCTTGGAAGCCTGACTCTTGTGACTTGCCCAGGTACCCTATCATATGCTATAATGCTACATTTAATTATAAAATGTGTCTTGCTTAATTTATAATTAGTAAACTAATTAATTTGTTTACTGTAAAAGGTTTGATGGGTTGGATTTTCTGAGGAGATGGAAGGGGAAGAAGATAATGTTTGTGGGTGACTCACTGAGTCTCAACATGTGGGAATCGTTGTCTTGTATGATCCATGCGTCGGTGCCTAATGCCAAGACCACCTTCAAAAAGGGCTATTCTGTGAACTTTCAGGTGAGTGAGATAGAGAGAGAGAGAGAGAGAGAGAGAGAAGAGAGAGAAAAACAGGGTCAGACTGGCTTTTTTTTTTCTTTTGTTTCAAAATTCCGTTTCTCTCACTGCATGACTGTCTGCATATTTGTCTGTCTCTTCGTAATTATTTTCTTACCTTATATTATATTTTATCTTGTTCCCTTTTGTCTCTTTCCCCAACATGTTCTGCTCTTTTTATAAAGTTTTTGGAAGTTCAAGTCCTCCATACTATGCTGTTCTCCACTG